CCCTCTGCCAGCCAACGCCGTTGAGACGGGTGCCATGGCGGCTACGCCTCGCACATCCACGCTTCCACTGACAGATGCCGATGAGCCTTTGGCGTCGTTGGATCTGAGGACTATGACATTGTCGCTAGCTACAGGGTCGATTGCTGCGACGATACCGTCGTTGTATGCTGTTGACTGTCTCGTTTCTGCGCTACTGACTGTGGCGGTGTCTGATGAGTCTACAAGGCCTGTTCTTGAGGGACTCAAGTTGTATGATCAGGGGCTTTCTACACCCCCCTTATCAAACTCTAGAGAGGAGATGATCACTGCCCTAGCGGAGCAGGAAGACGCTAAAGAAGGTAGCCAGCTGTGGTCCAAGGTAACATCTCAGTCCAAATCTGATGATCGAAAGGGATACCACTTTGGGAAAGGAGGGACCAAGAAGTCGAAGACCCAAAAAGTCATAATAGAGGAATTCGACATGGACAAGTACGGACGATACCAAGAAGGCTCACGGGAGGGCGAGGAGCTTCCGCGGATTACACGGGGATGTTTGCGGGTGTTGTTCTGGGGGTTTAATGTGGTAGTGCACGGACTTGCGATGGTTGTCAAGGGGATTGCTTGGATGGTGGTGAACCTGACTCGATGTTGTGCCACTGATAGCCATATTTCGTAGGATGAGATGGATTATACACCTATGGTTCGAAGTAGATTGCATTCCTTGATGTCATGATACTCGCAGGGATTTTGTAGATGAAGTCAAGAGCCAAATTGTGATAAGAATTCCACTACCAGCCCCCGTCAAGCGTTAGTAGAAAGTTAATTCGAACAGATGCTGATCTGTAGAAGTGTATGGAAGATGCTGTTGGGTTTGTTGACTACACTGATCTACTACCGCCATACTGCTAGTACTATCAACCATCCCCAATCAAGTGATAACCCCAATTCAATTCCCAAACACTCTCCACGAATATCAAATCAAACAAATAGACAATTTCTGAATAACAACAACACGAACCAGCAAACACCAGTACTATTCGAAACATACCTCCCTCCCACCCGTACCGTGTCGTCAAAAGTCAACATGATACATTCATACATACCCAACTCACATTCCAGACCAAACCTTCCACCACTCCATCGATCATTCGACACACAATTTTCCCCGATATCATTGCCTCAGGACTGGAATTCAAGGGATGTTGCCACCCTTATACCTACCCACATAATAAAAACCATACTTTTGTCTAATAAAATGTCTTAGATATATAGAGAGAGTATGAGACACGACAACTTCATCTAGTATCTCAACGACCAACGACCAACACCACCAACTCGACACCAAGAATACGACTACTGAAGAATAGTAACGACTACATCAAGATGCATAAACTCCTCTTCTTATCCACACTCTCCCTCGCGGCAGCTACATCTACTACTACTAATGGTGACTTGGGGTATTTGCAATGCGCTGTATGTATATTCCCATCACCATCACCATCACTTACCCATTCTCCCTCTTACTTACGTACAATCATCTTAACTACTGAGACTAATAAACTAATGAGCTATAGTCCTCCATCGCAGAAACCTACCCCCGCAGCGCAGAATGCACTTCCCCCTCAGTACTAGACTGCTTCTGCAACGCACCGTTTGATCCGTCCTCGCTGGACCGGAAGACTTTGGAGAGTTGTGCGCATGAGGGTGTTTGTACGTCTATCTTCTCCCCCTTTAGGAAATTTATGCTAATGAGGAATAATGATAGCACCATCCAACATCCCCGACTACGTATGCAGCGACACCGACGTCCCCATTGACGCACGCAAGGGCAGTAGTCCCATGATGCGGGTTGATACAACCAGCTCTGGTGCCAGTACAGATGGCAATGGCAACGGAAATGGAAACGGCAATGGCAATGGTAATGGTAATGGCAACGGGAATGGGAATGGCAATGGAAATGGAAATGGCAATGGCAATGGTAATGGTAATGGCAACGGGAATGGGAATGGCAATGGAAATGGAAATGGCAACGGCAACAGCGGCAACATATTCACACCCCAACGCTCCAACTACAAAGCCTCAAAGCGCGCATACGCACCATCCACCCCTGACCCCAACGCCGACACACCCTCCCCGGACACAACCACCACCACCCAAGAAGTCTCCTCAGACGGCTCATCAGAAGACCGCATCGAAGCGACCACCAAAACCAAAACCGAAACCAAGACCTCCGAAGCGCGCATCGAAGCATCAGCGACCATAACCGAGCATCACGGTGTGCACATGACAGACGCCACGAACCCAAACGTAGTATACAAGATGTACACGGAGACCGTGACGGACTGTGCGTGTGAGCATGCAGCCGCTACTGGCGATGCGCATGCTTCGGATTTGAGGGTGGAGAGTGGAACTGCCGCTACTGCTGCTGCTGCTGCTGCTACCGGTACATCAGCAAGGTTGTTTGGAACGCAGGCGGCGGAGACATCAGGGGCGGTGGTGTCATCGTCGTCGGTGGTGATGTCGATGCCTAGTGGGGTGGATGCGAGTCGGGTTGATGGGGTGAATAATGGGACTGGGGCGTTGTTTGAGGGGGGTGCGAGTAGGGTAGGAGGAGTTGGGGGAGTTTGGGGTTTGTTGATGGGGGTTGCGGTGGGGGTTGTGGGGGTGGGTTTGGTTCTTTGATCTATCTATTTCATGAATGAACTTGTGGGGGAGTAAAGATGGGAAAGGGGAGATAGGTATGTAATGAGTATGAGTATGATATGTGTAGTATGATTTAGTATAGTTTAGTATAGTCTCTCTCTTTATATCTGAATTGAAGTTGATACTATTAAAACACGAAATCCTCACTGCTGTTCAAGCATGAATCGCCTGCTGCACCTTCGGATACAACTGCACCAAGCGATAATACATCTCGGAATGATCATGCACCAGGACCTGCGGATCCCACGCCATAGCAGCAAAGATCGTTTCAATGCCACTGCTCACCGGCGTCATAAAGATCTGACAGATCTGCAATCCAATGACAAACGCAAAGGCCATAATGACCGCCGTGAAATCGCCACCCTGGTTATACCCCGGGTTCGTGAACTGGAGGTACAGATATGCCAGTAGCGCACACACGTACGACACGAACACCGACCCCATCGTTATCACCGGCCCCACCAGACAATCATTGACCAGTGCATCCACGCCACGATCCTTCATCATCTTCCACGTATCCTTAGCAGAGGGGATATAGGCTTTCCCGTACAGGGCAATATGGCAGAAAGCGTAGCGGTTAAAGAACGTGACGAGCCAATCGAGCAAGGAGATGAAACAGCCCAGGACCCAGAACCCAATACTGCCGATAATACTGCCCTGGGCGGCTTCCTGCTGCTGGGCGATGGAGCACGCCTGTCGGAGCATTTGGATCACGGCGAGGATGAGCGAGCCAAAACTGATGCTGCCGAAGGAGTAGGTGGTGGCGCGCCGGAAGGCGCCGCGCGTTGCACCGTGCGGCATGCCCTGGGGTGAGTTGGCGAAGAAGTACCAGGAGCCGTAAACGCCTGCGATGGTGGTGTGCACGGTGTTCTTGAGCCATTCGCTGAACCAGTACATGGCGAAGGTGACGTAGACGACCAGACCAATGACGCGGGCGGTGCTGCAGCCGCCGGAGCCGTTGGGGCAGGCCGGGTTGACGCCGGTGCTGTCAGGCTCGTAGGCGACGTAGATGGAGACAAGCGTAACGGAGAACCAGGCGGCGAAGGCGACGGCCACTAGGCCGCCGATGGTGCTGACCAGGAACATGTGGCCGTATTGGCGGGAGACGTCGATGGAAACTTCCATCATGTAGGCTGTGAAGGGGATGCGGGGGATCCAGCTGATGAAGCAGACGATGGCGAAGACGCCGAAAATGAGGAAGACGATGCCGCCGCCATATTGTCCGCGGACGATGTAGTAGATGCCGGTGGCGAGGGCGAAGACGATGTTCAGGATGCCCGTGACCCAGATGAAGAGCTTGGAGAAGTACCGCGCACCGAGGAAGTAGGCATACGAGAAGGCGAGAGCCACGCAGAGGACGAAGATGAAGAGCACGAGGGTGTTGGTGTTAAGGGAGAAGTCGTTGGTTGCATCATAGATGCCGCCGCCGCTGAAGCCTTTGTATTTCGCATAGCGATGGATGGTCACACCGGACACGGCCACGTAGCCGAGGAACACGGCGATGAACTGCCAGCAGTTTAGTTGTGAAGCTTTGTATAGAAGTATCGGGTTATCCTACTAGAAGTCCCGCCCAGATGTCATTGTATTTGGGTCGCTCGACTTGGAAAGCTTCGTCAAACCCATATACGGCTTGGTTGTAAGTTGGTGGAGGTCCCTGAGGGGGTCCCTGAGGAGGTTTCGGTTCAGGTCCTCGATAATCGCCGCCATTGTGTTGGTTGGGTGCTGGCTGGGGAGCTTGATTGTAATTGTAGTAGGCATATTGTTGTTGCTGCTGCGGTGGCTGAGGCTGAGGCTGATCGCCAAAGCTCTGATTAGCGTTGTAATAGCTGGATGCCTGGCCACTCATGACTGCGTGCTGTAGATGCAGAAAAGGAGAGATTCAGAGGTGAAAAACACCTCATTATCTGGAGTGAAAGTCAACGTCACAATCTGGGCAGGAGAGGGTTGCACTGCAGCTCGAGCGCGTCATCGAGGCGGGATCGACCGGCCGCTGTGTTGGCTCCCCACGGATCCTCAAACTTAATTACTCTCCCTGAAGTCACCTCAAAACGAGTGTAAATAATGGAAAATCAGGAAATGAAATATGTGAATCAATGCCACTCATATATCTAAGCTAATATGCAGTATGTACATGTAACATCGTCAGGCATGTCGTCAGTCCATCCGGCCTGCGCCCTGAAACCCGCGAGTCTATTAAGATTAAGAGGTCACAGAGTACAAATAGATAGTCCGGACCAGGTAAACGGTGGACTGACCGGTTCAAATACAATAAAGCTGCTTGGGGGTATCAATAAAAGCCAACCATCACTCCTCAGCTCCTACCGAAATGCATGGTTCCGCATGTGTCGCCACGAATCCCCGATCTTGCGCTCGATGCCTGGGATAGGTGTTCGCGATCGTCCTGGCCACTCGTCTGTCGCTGCCTGGATCTGCCCTTTGTTCCACGCCCGCGACCGCCGCATGTTCTCGTGTCGAACTGCTGCCCGTCGCGCGGCGCGCAGCTCGTCAATGCGGCCTTGTCCAACCCGATGTCGTCGCACGAAACAGTCGTCCATCAGAGTATTGGCGTCCAGCAGCTTCTTCGGCACTGTCTGTACCACCTGGAACACCTCCATTGGATCCGACACTGCCATGATCTCTCGCTCGCACGACTTGAAGATGGCTAGTGACACGCGGAAGAACGTCTTGGACCCTTCGTAGAAGAACACATCCCACACCCGTAGTGTGGTCTCCAGGGGCAACGTCCCGATGAATACCGACATCAGCCAGTTCGTCAGCCCGAGCGTAATGTCCGGCAGCCGCGACGTCACCGTCAGCGCGGGCGCCCGCGAGCCGCCACCGAGCCCGCCCCCGATTTTGTTGTACAAATGTGGCGACGTCTCCTTGAGCAGCACCATGAGAATCCACAGGTCGATGTTAGCGCCCTCCAAGCTGATCTCGTGCGTGCTTGGGAGATACACCGAGCTGATAATGTGCAGCATCCAAAACGCCTTCTCTTCCGGCATGAACAGCAGCAGCAACCCCGTGATGAAGTTTAGCGACTGCGTATATCCGATCTGGGGGTTGTGCACCGCGAATGCATACAGCACGCGCCGGAGCGACTGGATCATCTCTGTCTCAACCGTCACGGACTCGTGTTTCGGGTTGCTGCTTCCAGCGCCAGCGCTGGAGCCTCCGTATTGTTCGACCGATTCAGGTTTAAAGTGGATGTTATCCGGAAACGTCCGATGTAAGTCGCGTTCAATGTGTTCCTTGTCGTCGTTGCTTGGGGAATCCATGGCCTGCCGGACAAGCTGGTCGTAGAGCCCGGGATTCCGGTTCAGATGCTCATACCCGCCAGCGTAGAAGAACCAGGCGGCTCCTCGATACTCCGAAGGTATTCCCTTGCGCACAAACTTTTTGACTTTGTTTGATTTTGGCGGGAAGGAGATCGGATCTGTGATCGGCAGCCGATTTTGGCGGAGCAGTTCCACCCACTTGATTCGCTGGGTCGCGGCAAAGTCGGAGTATGAGCTGTTCCACGCCTCCCACTGGGCAAGCGTCACATGATGGGTAGCCTTTCGGAACCCGTAGCGATCGCGCGAGTCCGTTCCCAACAGGAGGGGCGGAGGCACCACTCCGGGCAGCACGACCTTTCTTTCTTGACGCTCGGACCCGGGTGACTTCAATGGTGTCTCAACGGGTGGCTCTTCAGGTGGAACTTCCTCCCCCTCATGGCGATCGCTTAATGGCCCTCGTACAGGAGCACTCAGCTCAGGGAGCGGTGGTACAGGCGGAAGATCCTCAGTAGGGTCCATATCGGGCGAATGCTCATCGGAAGTATGACCATCATCGAGCGTATATTCCGTGGGCGGGCATGGGCTCCACGGTCTGACTTTCTCGTCGTCATATATATCTGGCGTCCCAGGTTCCTCCGTCACATCGCTAAAACCGTCGAGGTACATGGAAATGGCATCTTCCACACTCATGCCCCCATCTTTTTCACAAGGCCCATCGGGCGTGTCAGGAGACAGGTCGGTTATCGAACTACTCTTGGTGAGAACACTACTGCGCTCAGTTCCGCTGGCTTGCTCGATGCTGGATCGCGAGGTCATGGCGGAGTTGATACTAGATCGCAGTGCATCATCTCCATGTGCGTCTGCATAGCTCCCCGGAGGCACGACGCGAGGCAATGCCAATCCATACGCATCATCTGGGTACCGTTCTCGTGACCGAGGGGGCCGTTGGCGTCGATTGTGCAATTTGGAGGTAGACATGGAGATGCGCAATCCTGGTGCGCCTGGCGGAAGCTTCCGGGGCGGTGGGCGATCGAATTCAGTCTCTCTGGAAGGATATCCCGGACGACGACCTGGTGATACCGGGAATGTTGGCGTACGAAGGGCGGGCTTGCGGGGGACGAAATAATCATCATCTCTGGGTTGAGGCGAAGGGGAGCGCCATGATGGATCAGCAGCAGCCACCTGTGCAGGGTGCAGTCGCGGGGAAGGCACGGGGGGGCGTTGAGAGGGAGGAGGGCGAACGCCGTCGGCGGTCGAGGGGCGTGGAAAGGGAGGATTAAGTCTCAACGGATCTAGGCGGGGAGGGTTCGGGATCCTGCGTCGGCTGGGGATATCATGCGCGCCTGCAAGGGGCGGATATCGAAAGTCTCCATTTCCTGTGACCATGGCCACGAGATGATAGATCCCAGTTCCCGCTGGACATTGGTCGGTGAGTGTAGAATGGAAAGACGCAGTCGAGGACTGATTTCAGGGGCGGGCGATAGTTGATAAGGATGGGTGAAGAGGCAAAGGGAGGCGAGTTGAAGAGGAGGAAAAAAGCAACGAGAATAGAGTAAGCGCGTAGAGAAAGACTGCAGGGCAGTGGTGAACGAGTGAAGAGACCGGTCAAGCGGTCGAGTTGCCCCGTCAGGCGCGAAGTGAAACGAGCGGATGGAAAAGAAAAGTGCAGGCCAAGTTAATAGTCGCCCCGGCAGCGCGCGATGCAGCAGTCCATCAACCGAGTCTCACGAACCTGCCAGAGGATCAATCCGAGACTTCATCTCACGACGTAAAACAAGAGCGAGAAGAGAGAGTCAGAAAAAGAGGAGGTGGACGACGACGACGACGAAGAATAAAAAGCGAGAGCCGAAAGGGAAAAGGGGAAAATCGCTGCGGGCCTCGATCGAGTCTAGCGCGTACGATTTCCAGCGAAGTCGTGAAGTTGAAAATTAAAATCCATCCGGTTATTACGGACCCTGTCCGGTAAGCTAAACGCCTTGCCGTGCTAATTTCACAGCTAATTTCAGGTACCGTATTCTGATTACAACTGGTTTGGTTTTTTTACTTGGTACACGATGGGTTTCAGTCTGACGCCAGGATGAGATCAGTCTCACCAACGGCGTTTGAGGTTGATGATTTTCTGTATATGTCTAGTGCAATCAGTCGAGGCACTTGCGGATGACCTCGGGAGTGTGGTGCCATGTAGAAAAAGTACGCCAATGCAGCCTGTAGACTTCACAATGGCTTTGCGTTCCTCTTCACCCCCGAGACGGGGTTACACAACGGTTGCAGGGGCGATCTCAAAGAAGTCAGGCAGTCTGCAGAGTCTCGCGCAGTCTCAACCACTTCCATCGATCTATCATCTACAAGGTGCCTATTTCGTCGCCTTGTTGCATAGTACTTTTCAATCATGATAGGTCACTCCTACATACATGTGTCTCCATAGAAGCTGCATCCGCGGTGACGTTATGTATGGGGAGACGCTGGACATCTCTGTCTGTCTCTTGAGCTGCGCCAACCACATCCCTCGCAGTTTGCAGTTGGGAGGGTCCGCCCCGAGCCGTCTGGAGACCGGCTGGATGCATTGCATATCTACCGTTGGATGAAGAAGCGATCGTCCAGACAGGTTGCCTGGATGGCATAACAGTTGATGATGCTCATTTCCCAACTGCCAGATAACTCCAGCAGGTTATTCCAGTGGTGGGAATTATGACGACGAACGTTGGCAACTTCCTTGGTACGGAAAGCGAAAAACCGGTTTGACACAATACGAACGTACCGGGCGGAGTCGGTTTCAGCTGCCCCTAGTCGGGTCCCACCCGCCGAAGCGCCAAGGTTCGATTCGCTCGACAGCTGCTTGCCCTTTTTGATAGTCTGTTGTCGAACAAACTGTTTTATCCCTTCTGGCCCTCTGGTTTGAGGCCCACCTAGGTTTGTTTGCCCTTCCCGAACCAAGACCGGATGCTATCTTTCCGATCTTCCCCTCCCTTGCCCCCAAATTGATGTCGAGCACGATGATTATTAACCGCCATCGCTGAGTGAGCTTGAACAACATTACTATCCGTCACATGATTCTAGCGGGGATCGATCGTCCCGTGATGCTGCCGTGCCCCACCACTTCCTACTGCTTCGGGAACTTTTCCCTAAACCCAATTTGATTAAGTTTGATGCTTCAAGGCACCATGGATGGATAGTATCGCTTCACTCTATTCTCTACTACCGAAAGGCAACCAGCTTTGGTGCCATTGGCCGCTGTCGAATCATTCGGGTCATATCTGATGTATCGCTTATCATCTGCAGGTTAGGTCTCATTCTTATGATATGAGTCGCTGGGGTGGATAACTCGCATGCATGGCTTAACTTAGTTCACCAAAATTTGGACTGTCAGAAACTCTAAAGCTAGATAGCATCCCTTAAGAGAGATTGCGCTGTCCCGGAAATCCAATGTACCTCAGCTCCGCCGCTTCGTCCTTATATGGAGCAACATGCGAAAGCGAAATTGATTCTATTAATACGAACGGAACCCAAGGATGCGCTTGATGATCCCTTATCGGAAATCAGCACCGCAATTCCTAGTGCGCCCACATTGGGATAATGCCGCCAACTGGTGGGTCTCCTGCGCGTCATGGCGATGACGAACGTGTTCTCGCACAGAAAATATAGTAGATAGTCGGGGCCCCAGAGGGCAGTACATTTGATTGCTCTTGCTTGGTCTCTTCTGCTCTTGACCGTGCCGCTTTGTGGCGACCAAAAGGGATGATGCCAAGTTCCCCTTCTATTAAGATTACCAGTGGGCTTGACCGTCGGACTTCCTAAGAGCGCCTTGCATGCAGGATCCAGCGCAGGATCTATTCCCGACGAAAAGCCATCCCCCTTCACCCTTCCATCTGACAGTTAACTGTGCACTATGCCACTCGCGTCACTTTCACGTTCATCCCTTTCTGTCGTACGAACCATGCATTGACCACCTCCCACTCAGCTTCCGGATCATTCAATTCAACCTGTAACAGCCACCCGTCAGCCAGAGATCGCAAATTGCCAGGAAAAGAGGCGATGGCAATGCACATACCTTGTATGCCAAGAGCAACGATGGTATCAGCTTATATATCTCCAACAGACTGATGTTCTTCCCAATGCAGGTTCGGGGGCCGGCCCCAAACGTCAGCGTTGCCCCTAGCATATTCTGCCTTCGTATCTGAAACTCCGCTTCTGATTCATCGTTACCCCGCAGCCAACGCTCAGGGACGAACCTGTCAACCTCTTTGCCAAAAATAGCGTGGCGATGGATTATCCACGGGTTGACTCCAACAACAGTCCCAGCGGGGAGGAAGGGGCCGTTTGGCAATTGGAGGCCTTCTGCGGGGACTACCCTCTCCAAGAGGAGTCCTACGGGTGGATGCAGACGAAGAGCCTCCTTGATGACGGCGTCGAGATATGGGAGTTCCTGGCTTTGTTTCCATGATACAGGTACGGTAATTTTTCCAGCTTGGAGGGCGCTATGCAATTCCTCCTGCAGCTTGCCCAATACCCTGGGGTTTTTCAACGTATAGTATAGGATCGCTCGGAGAGAGATAGCAGTGGTATCAGAGCCTGCATTCACATTGCTGACTGTGTATGAGAATACCTGGGCGTCGTCGACCACGTCAGGGTGAATAGATTTCGCCTCCAAGAAGCGGGTCAAGAAGTCTTTCTGACGACCAGGGAAATCATCTCGCTTACTGCCATCCTGAGACAGCCGTTCATGCAAGCGGTCGCGGGCGAAACGAGCAACAGCTCCTGTTGACCCGCCCCGAATAAGCTGCCAGAGAGGGTTCTTGAGAAAGACATAATCAAGCCAGGGCATTTGACCAATCTATAGACGAACGACCTGTCAGAATGAGGAAACAAAGTGTTGGCATGCAACCCACCTTTCCCGCATAATCGAACATCTTCTCCAACGACATGATGACACCTTCAACATCACGACCCTGCTGCAGGAACCCAAGTTGCTTGCTGAACGTCATCTCACCAATGACATCAAACGCATCTGCCCATGTCAGCTTACTTCCTACAACCAGTGCCCAAAACAGATGCCTTACAATACTGCAACCACGTCGAAATATCAAACACATTCCCCTTCGCTGCAAACCCATCCAACCGCGCAAAGAACGTCCGTATCGTACTATCCACAAACGGCTCGAACTCGGCAACCGTGCTCATCGAATAAGACGCCGACACAGGTCGTTTAATCTTAGCATGAAAATCCTCGTCAAGGGATGTAAACAGCGTTCTAGTCGGCTTTCCCTTTGCAAGTTGTTGCTGGACACGATAGAACGCCGTCTATGCATGCATGGTTTAGTAGCATATTCACACAAACATACTTCATCCTCCAAAAAAATCCAACTAGAAATAGTAGGAGAAGAATAATGAAAATACCTTCTTATACCCCCTATTAACCCCATATATCACCTTCAACGCCTCCACATTCCACACACTAACGACCTTCGGTCCCAACCGCACATACTCGCCATGTTCCTGGTGCAGCCGATAATGTGTGATCTCGGCTTTGCCTCGCGCTACATCTACAAACCGCCACAGATTGGTGAGTTTGGCGAGGAATGGGCCTGGGATGCGCGATACTCCAGGCGTGAAGTAATTCCGGGTGAGGTGGATGATGAGGATTGTTAGTAGGATGGAGGGGATGTGTTGGGAGAGGTATGCGATTGTGGTGGTGAGGAGGGCCATGATGATAGCAATTATGACGGGTTCAGGGATGTGCTAGTAGTAGAATACTATGAGAATGGGAGAGTTGTGCTAGTAGTAAGTAGGCTACTAATGTAGATGTGATTCTATATAGGTATTTGAATCCCCGCATGAGGGCGGAACGAGTCCCGTTGTTTGGATCTGGTTGCCGAGGATGAGTTGTCGTCTATGATGTTAGTAGTGGTCTTTGGCATTGGAGGATGAGTTGGTTATACACGTGTGGTAGAGTATAACGGTTGTATTAATCTACGGGTGTGCGGGGAAGGCTGTGGCGAGAGAGATAAGAGAAAGTAAGGAGGAGATCCGCACCACTGCAGCATATGCACAGTTAGTTGGTCTTGCATTTTGAATGATATCCTGTGGATTTCGGCCGGAAGTAAGATGCCGATTCTGTTTTAATGTCGCTCTCAATATGCATATGGTATCTATTATGATGATTTCATGTCCTTTATTCCACAAACAATTCATGCTAACGAAGTCTCATCTCATGCAGTCGTGATGCTCAAACATGTTCATATCATATATATATCTAGCCAAGCCGAAACTTTCATGTCTTTTTGGTCCCTGTTCCCTGTGTTTCTCCCGTCGTTTCGTATCACTCTTAGCTCGCGGACTAGCCTCAAGGTATCTATCTACCTGCTGACCCGATAGCAGGCAACAGCGGCTCACTAAAGAGTGGCATACTTGCGTGTCCACTCTTTCGCAACCTCCTCATACCGACTGTGGTCATTCTTGAATTGCTCTGCAATCCGTCCCTCGACAGCATCATCGGGCATCGGCTCCGCTAGCAGTTGACGCGCGAACTGCAGTACCGCCAGGATCTTGGAGCTAGGTTTCCACTCGTCCGCGCGAAGCATGCCCAGACACATGCTTCCCTTGTCATCGTTGGTCACGTTGGGATGGTATATCTTCGTTTTGAAGGAGACAGTAGGGGGCTTGAAGGGATATTCGGTGGGGAGAGAGAGGTTGAGTAGGAATTTGCCGTTCTACGTATGATACGGTTTTGAGTGTTAGTGAGGGTTCATATTGCCTCCTTGACATCGATGACAGGTAGGAGAGACTCACCTGGTAAGGAGATTTCTCAGGTCCATCCATATATACGTTCCATGTGTAAAGATTGGATTCGTCGGCCAACTTCACCACGATGCCCTCTGGGGGAGACTCGACAAGCTCGGCGAGCTCCTGTGAGTCATGTGTTAGTCAATTGTGCTCTCTATTCGCACCCTGGTAGATGTGGCGCAGATTATGAAGGGAAGACTCTCTGTTCTGCTCACCTTAGCTATCCGTTTCTGACTTCCCATGATGTGTGTCTGTTTGCGATAGAACCTGACAAGTGTTTGTCGGTGTGGAAAGAAGAGCGGGGTAAGATGTTGAGGGGACACGGTCGGGGACGGCGGCGGAGAGGGGTTATTGCGAGACGTGAAACCCAAGCATCAACTGTGGAGTGAATATGTTCCCAGTCCCTCAGAAGCTGACTATCAGTGACAGGGCAAATGAGTCGTGGCGGAGCAAGTGCAGATGGAAGGGGGAGCTGCGCTGGTCGGGAAACCCCGAAGCTCTTTGGCAATTGATTAGCGGGGCGGGTCAGGCGGGGCGGAGGATCGGCTGGTCGCAGTGGAAGACGTCAGCGTCAATCCCCTTTCCACTTAGTTATTTACTATTACAGATTCTCCAGGTGGAATTGCGATACATCAACACTGGTAAATAAGAAATATCATTAAACATCATCGCGACAAGTAGTCTATAAAAATACCAAACGCCGTCACTGTCAAACATGGCCCAAGAATAACTGCATTCTATATTCCAACCCGCTTTCCCCTACACAGCAGATGGTCCAGGCGAACCTTTGCTGAGCTTGCTGACTGTCTCAGCTTCCCAATACTTCTCCTGTTTACCTTTGTTCTTGATAAGACCAACGATGTCGAAGGGATCAATAAGGGTGAAGATGACTGGTCGGTGATCGTCATAACCAGGACCTTCGATTTCGGTAACGCCATCCGTGGCAAGATATATTTTGTTGGAGCGTGGGAGCCACTGCATCGGATGGCAGACATTCAGCAAGATGGTATTGAGGTACATGACAACAGCCTCAAAAATCCAGAAAAACCACTCATCCTTGAGGATTGGGCTAATCTGGTTGCCGCCACTATAGATATTGAGACTCGTGGCGCTGAAATATTCCACCGTCCGGTAGATCGTGCGCACAGTAATGAGGGTGCAACTGCAATACAACACGTACAAGGCCCGCTTGATCTTGCTGTTCAAGACACCACCACGATGACAATTGTAGTGGAACCTGGCAGCCAAGGCAACAAAGGCAGCCATAAGCACAAGTTGCAGGATCAGAGCTGCTTTAAGCAATCCCTCTCCTGTCTTTCTCTTGCCTTCCGTCGCCTCAGAGTTGGCAACCAGCGCAGCCCCGTTGCCGGTGATAGCCTCGATCACAACACCAACCGCCACAAAAGTGGTGAAAACGCGCCCAGGATGAATGGGCGAATGGTATGGGATATAGTAAAGGATGCGGCCCAGAGTGAAGTAGTTGGCGCCCTCATAGACGGGTCTGTACGCCAGTCAGTGGCATTCATTATCAATCCGCATCAATAAGCACTCACGGTGCAGCCAGCAACAGAACGGTGCTCGCAATGTAGATACCCACATTCCCCCACTGTCCAAAGGCGCCGATAGTACGCGTTATGAACCCAGCTGTAAAGAGAAGAGCAGACCATGGTAGGAGACCGGTCACTTTCCAAGACTTGTATTGGCTGTCATCATCGTTAGGAACTGCATGGGCATAGCACTTGGGTGAGCATGCATACCAACATTGGTAAATGTGTACCATCCCAGAGACAGCAAACATTATTGCGAAAGAGATGGGCGCTCCTTGGTTGGGCGCATAGTACCAGAGACTTCCCTCCTCTTCTTGGCGTTAGTGTATACACTATATAGAGTATGTATAGGCTTGGCGGGTAGGGGTTCCATACGATAAGGGGATCTTTTGTCAAGCATCATCTTGTACCGTCCTGACTATGTGACACTGAAACTGAAGCAAGCAGTTGTGATAGAAGAACTAAAATGTGATAGCATGATCTTTGCTCCATCTTCGTTCATCTCCCCTGTATATATAATGTCTTCACATATTCAGCCTCTGACTGTTAGAAGAACAAGCGAAAACGAGCACACCGTTTTGGGTTAGTGCCTGATCCAAGCCATGAGCCTGGGAGATTGGCTTATTGGGCCCGCGAAAGCATCGCCTCAACCTTATTGACTTTGGGTACTGCAATAAAGGCCCTGAATCTTCCTAGCAGCTCCACATGCGATGGCTGAGAACCAGATGTGGCATCTCACAAAGACGATGGCACGTCACATGGGTAACCACCTGGCTCATGAAGTTAGTAGTTGCTGGATTACAACAAGCGCCAAGAGTAGCGAATACGAGCAAGGCTGAGCCGGGCGCAACTTCAGGCACTAAGGCCGTCTTTCCATCTTTCGCACTAGAAACTCTATTTCCCGCCTGAATCTGCAGGCACACAAATACGAGCTTACATCATGCACCACCAGTTGTCAGGACAACACGACACCAACCCAAAAGGGCAAAGTCAACATAACGTGATTGCTGGCCTGGGGAAAGTCTCGCCTTCTCCAGCTTCGATGGTGCTTCGATCTGGACCTCATATCCGCCCAAAGACGCACGACATCTCGCAGTTACTCCACTCTGTTCAATCGAATGTGAACAGACAACGTGGACTGCTACCCACCATGAGCTCGACAAAGTCCTCCCCCGCATCTCTATTCCAGGTGTACCTCCGCCTGCGGCCACCTATGCCGCAGCATTTGGAGGAGCACGCTGAACGATGCTTGACAATCGAGACTCCGGAGCCAAAGGTCACCCTTGAAGATGACCAGGAAACCACAGCCGCTTCTCCCACCCATATCACCCTGCAACCCCCATCCGATGCGCGAAAGCGTGCCGTTGAAAGGTTCGGTTTCACCAAGGTGTTCGAAGAGTCAGCGTCTCAGCTAGACGTCTTCCATGGCACCGAGTTGGAGTCTCTGGTTAGGGGTGTATTGGTGGAGGGCAGGGACGGCCTTATTGCAACGTTGGGAGTGACAGGCAGCGGAAAGGTCTAGTCCACCGCATCCCCATGAGTGAACTTGAACATGTACTGACAAGGACAACCTACAGAGCCATACAATCCTAGGTTCGAAGTCGCAGCGAGGAATTACCCAAATGAGTCTTGACCTTATCTTCAATTCTTTGGCCTCGACTATCAGGCCACCCGACAACTCTATTAGCCCTCTTCTTCTGTCAACCGTGGCCGCGTCAGACGGTTCCGAAGCCCAAATGTTTACGGCGCAGACATTCCTCGAGGCTGTATATGGCGACCCTGCCGAACGTGGAAGGAACTCGAGAGCCCAAACGCCGATGAGTACTGGAAGAGCTACCCCTATGACGGTATGGCGCCCTCCCCCAAAAACCCCGTTGCAAGGCACCGCACGGTTTTCCCCCTTAGCCGCTGCCCACACTGGTCCCTATTCCAAAATATACAGCGAATCCCTCTCGAGAACATGCTACATCAATCTTCTCACCATGCATCCTAAATTAAGAGAAAAGATGAAGCAAGACTCGTGCACCCACTTGAGTTCTGGTAAAACCGCTCGTGCTAACATGTCTCAACCGGCAAAGGAACCGACACCTGCACTTATATTCCCCCGTCGCAATATGCCCCAACGTCCCAACGGCCTGCTTCGCTCGCCTGATGTCAGTCACCTCACTATGGAGCTAAACCCCAACTCCGAATATGTCGTCCTGGTGTCAATGTACGAAGTTTATAATGATCGCATCTTCGATCTGCTGTCCCCCGCTATAGTACCTGGCCAGGGAAGTACAATGTCCCGTCAGGGAGGTAATGCGCAGAAGGACCGACGCAGAGCCTTGTTTTTCAAGCCAACGGAAGGCTCCCCTGACCGCAAGGTTGTTGCGGGACTACGCAAGATAGCATGCAGCACCTACGAGGAGGCTCTGTCGGTGCTTGAAGTTGGCCTTACTGAGCGCAAGGTTACTGGAACCGGAGCCAATAGCGTCAGCTCTCGCAGTCATGGTTTCTTCTGCTTGGAAGTCAAAAGAAGAATGCGAAACAAGAGGACTGGCGAAGAAACTTGGATAGGCAACACACTCACGGTGGCAGATCTTGCTGGTTAGTATGACTCTTCGCTTGCTGTTATAAAGCTAACACGAACAGGTTCTGAGCGCGCGCGAACTGCTAAAACGGCGGGTTCGACTCTGGCAGAGGCCGGCAAGATCAACGAGAGTTTGATGTACCTTGGGCAATGCCTTCAGATGCAGAGTGACATACAGGACGGAAATAAGGTATGCTACGACACAGTATAGTCATCAGTTCCCGAAAGCTGCTAACATGAATAGGCTGCCATGGTTCCGTTCAGACAATGCAAACTCACTGAACTACTTTTCTCGAACTCCTTCCCGTCTTCCAACCAGGCTACTGGCCTCAACCGTCACCCACAGAAGGCCATCATGATAGTCACTGCCGATCCTATGGGTGACTACAACGCGACTTCCCAGATCCTGCGTTACTCGGCATTGGCTCGTGAAGTTGCCGTACCTAGAGCTCCCTCAATTGCCGAGTCTATCTTGTCCAGCACGCTTGGATCTCGTCACGGATCCGCTAGTGGACGCAACACTCCCAGCATGGGCACAAACGAAGAGCTTGAGAAGGCCTTGGCAGAGATCGCGAGACTGACGGCAGAGAATGAATCTCTTTCAGTGAGACTTGCTGAAGAAGAGATTCTCAGGACCGATTTCGAGCTGCGACTCAAGGCAAGCGAAGAAAGATGCATCATGATCGAGCAAGAAGTGCGCGAAGAATGTTGGAATGAGATGGATGAGCGAATGGAAGAGGAGCGAAAGAGATGGCAAAATGCCTTGGATCAACAAGTAAGTCTCATTCGAGTGCAGTCTAATCCACCGCATACTAATCAAATCAGTCTGGTTTCAACGACGAGCATCTCGACAAGAAGATTGAAATCGTGTCCCGAGGATTTCAAAGTAAGTTGTGGCCACAAACCTCCTCCCACTGAAAATACTAACAACCTCTCCAGTTCACGAAGACCCCCAACCCTCCTCAGACGAGCGGGTCGAAGATCTCGAGTTCGAGAACGACCAGCTTCGCAGCAAGATCGCGGCCCTGGAACGCGAGCTGAATTGCCGCTCTCCTACCAAGAAGTCCCGGTCGAAGAATACTCTGGAGACTTCTCGCAACTCCAATATCCTCGGACGCGAAAGTGACATTGAGGTCGCCCTCAAGCGAATGGACCAGCTGAAGCTTGCGGATAGCATGTTTTCTCCTGCTCCGCAGCCCACTGGTTCACCCGGCAAGAGGCAGAGAAAGATGGCGACTCGGAAATGGGACCTGGCTCCCGAGGAAGATATCTGAGCTGTTGCCGAAAGATCGCTGCTGTCTTCTTGTATACGTTTGGCAGGATACCTTTCGTTGGACATAATTACTTGCTTGATGGTGTAACGGCTGGGAAGGATGTATCAGGCGTTCTGGTGGATTATTTTGTTGATACCAATATTCCCCTTTCTTGTTATAATATTAATAGTTCTCTATGATACATGAAGCTTGTTGAGAAGTACCTCCTGAACGCCTACCGTTCGTTGCACGCCATGAAGTACATGAGACCCTAACGCATACTTCGAAATTCAAATGGTCATATCAAACATGAGCACGGATGATTCGACACTCGCACGATGGATAACCATCATTTATGTTTCCATTGCTTCCGGTTCAGAACCAGCTTCGCTTTCCTGATCTGTTCCGGGAATCTCAGCCTGCTCAACGTCATCCATCTCGTCATTATCCTGCACACCTTCCATTTCGGTAATATCGTTGCCATCTTCATCCTCTTCCGGATCCCCCTCCCCCTCCCCTTCATCTTCGCCTTCACCCTCCATGTCTTCGTCCCCGCCAGCTTCATTTTCATTCTCTTCTTCGCCTTCCATTTCATCATCGTCACCGTCGCCAGGGTCTTCGCCTTCTTCGACCATAGTCTCGCCTTCGCCCTCTACAAGCTCGGTATCTCCCTCCATGTCTTGCCCTTCATCCCCATCGGCACTGGCCTGGGCAGACATCTCCGACTCCGGATCCATGGAACCCCGGTCATCGAGGTTAGGGAACAGTAACTTGCGTTCAGTTGTCAGCTTGGCCAGTCTCTCGTCGTCCATTTCGCTGAGTTCGCTCTCATCATCCGCGCTATCATGCAGGCTGTTAGGAATATCGCTCTGCTGTCCTGATCCGACATCTTCAGTGCCAGGTTCAAGCAACCCTGATTTGTTTGTCTGCCTGGGAGCGGAGGTTGGACCAGCTTCGGAAATGTTGGCTTGTTCGGCTTCTGTGTTGGCAGAAGTTTTGGCCATGGGTGCACGCGGGGGCACTTTACGATTGACAATCGTCTCGGCTCGTTTTTGGACGTCACGTCGTGCGATACCCTTTGTACGACCGCGAGGTGCAGGTGCTTCAGAGGCTGGGGCTGAGGTTGGAGGCGTAGGAGTATCGGCAGCTCCGTCACTAACCATGAGAAGATGATCGACTTTCATCTTCTCTTTATTTTCTTCATTCGCTTGTTCGATGACTTGTGGCATGTTGACTTCGTAAAGTCGGGCGTAGAGGTCTGCAATAAGGTCTTCGAGCAACGAGACCTTCATAAGGTTGTTGTTAAGCTTTTTCAGCTCAATGGCATCTCGAAGGAGTTCAAGAAGGGATGGGCTTTCTGGGGATAACTGTGCAAGGCCTTCCAAACGGGCTGTGTTTGCGACAAATTCTTCCCAACCAATGGGCTTGAATACGCCCTCTTCATGGCCCTCGCTGATATGGCCAGCTCTCCGGATTACCCTGGCATAGGTAAGACACGCATCCTCCCAAAGCTTGCTATGATTGATAAAATCCCCCTGCTTCTTCCTTACTCGGCGCAGTAATTGGTCGAGGTTTGCT